GTGTGTTTATCTCAGATCCGCTGCGCAGCTCATGCACAGGAGGCACAGGAGGTCTGTCTGTTGCTTGCAGGCAGTGTTTGGTCTACAGTGTAGTCATACAGCGCCTGACCCCAACGACACCTCCTGGAAGCAGCAGACTATCTGCATCTGTGCCGTGTCACGGCAGCACGCATTGCTGGGAACGCGTTGGGAGTTCCTGCTCATATGGCAGCCCAGATGGAAGCACCGTATGCGAGCGGTAGGAGCCACCCAGTAGGACTGCCAGACTTCTGGGAATCTAGAACAAATATAGAACATGCTTCACAGCTCCTGGCCGAGTGAAGGTAGGCAACTCTGCACAAAGTCCTGGCGCCCATTCGTGCTCTGGTGCTGTCAATTGTGCTGATCAAAAAAGAAGACATTTGGCTCCCCGTTATCTGAGAGAGACAGAAAGCCATCAAGACTGGAAAGCCTCTCTTTGGAGACGTTCTGCAGAAAGCGGTGTAGAAATGGCTGATGTTGCAAAGTTGGGCAGGGTGTGAGTGCTGCTCAGAGACTGAGGAGAGTTAAGTGCTACAGAACCAAATTGCTGCCTGCAGCCAACCAAACTAATGGGCTGCTTTCACAGAGTCACAGAATGGCCAGGGTTGGAAGGGACCTCATGGATCATGAAGCTCTGACCTGCCACCATGCGCAGGGCCACCAACCAATTCTGCATTTCATACTACACCAGGCTGCCCAGGGCCCCATCCAACCTGGCCTCCAACACCTCCAGGGATGGACGGGGCATCACAGCCTCTCTGGGCAGCTGTTCCAGCCCCTCCCCTCTCTCACAGCACACAACTTCCCCCTGACATCCAACCTCCAGCTGCCCTCCCTCAACTTCAAACCATTTCCCCTCGTCCTGCTGTCATCTCCCCTTTCAAAAGCGTTGACTCCCCTTTCTGCAGGTCCATTCCCTTCTTGCCCAGCAGCATGGCTGATAATTGCTTCCTTCTCACCCCATCTTATCCCATAGCTGCCTCTGCTGCACCTCCACTTGCTTCCTCCTGGCTCTGCTCCTGCCTTCTCTCTGTGTTTGCACCCAACTTTTGTCAGCACACGTTTTGCACGCCCAGGATGGTAACAACAAAGTTCTGAACTTCTCCAACTGTTGCAGCTCGCAGCTGAGGAATGCCTCTAAGAAGGTGGTGTGCTTCAATGCAGAGCATAAAATATTCGGAGATTGGTTTGATTCTGAAAGCATTTTTTGATGTTTTTTCCTCAAGTCAGAGGTTCCAGCATGGGCAGAGTGTACTTTTCCAGCTATAAAAATGCACAAAAATACCCAGCATTTCATAGTTGCACATTCTGGCCTCTACTTACTGTTACCATAAAGCTAAACTCTTTCTAATCAAATTTGACTTCCCCTTTTTTTTCTTTCCACTTAATGGACTTCCCTATCAGTTTTTATGTCACCCAGGGGCTTCCCTCAAGCCAGAAGCATTTGATGGGGACTGACTCAGGGTTAGTTGGTGTTTTGCTGCTCCTCTGTCTCCCAGCCCACCCCTTCCCTTCCGTTTGGGAGCTTTCCCCCAGCAGTGACTGTGTCAGCTCCAAGTGCTGCAGGACCTGTCCACTCCTCAGCAGAGGGAAATGCAGCTTTGTTGTGGATGCTTTCTGACACTGAAGAGCAAATGGGGCTAACTCACCCCTTGGCTCTCCCAGTGCTCATACTTGTGAGTATATGCACCCAAGGTGTTTCTATTCACTATTGTGCCATCACTGCACGAGGGAAGGGGCTTCATTTTGTAAATTATTTTTTTGAACTTCAGGATAGTTGTTCTTTTGGTAGGACAAGGGGGAATGGCTTTAAAGTGAGACAGGGGAGGTTCGGGTTGGATATGAGGAGGAGGTTTTTCATGCAGAGAGCAGTGAGGCACTGGCACAGGTTGCCCAAGGAGGCTGTGGATGCCCCATCCCTGCAGGCATTGGAGGCCAGGCTGGATGTGGCTCTGGGCAGCCTGGGCTGCTGGTTGGCGACCTGCACACAGCAGGGGGTTGGAGCTGATGCTCACCATGATCCTTTGCAACCCAGGCCATCCTATGGTTCTATGATTTGCACTTCCCATAGAAAATGCCTATTGCAGGTTGAAGCCTTCTGAGGTCCTGGCCATGGGGTAACCTGCTGCAGGTGGGAGTGGGTAAGCTGGAGCTCTGGGCTGAGCCAGGGGCTGTAGGGGGCAGCCTGGTGAGGCCCTGCAGCACTGCTGTGGATGGGTATGGGATTGATAAAGGAAACTGCCCTGATCCTTAGGTAACACAATCAAACAAGTTGCCCAGAGAGGTGCTGCTGCCCATCCCCACAGACAGCCACGCTCAGGGGATGGGGCTCTGAGCACTGGTGGAGCTGTGGATGTCCCTCCTCACTGCAGGGAGTGGGACCAGATGGCCTTTAGAGGGCCCTTCCAACCCAAACCACTCTGTGATTGTATGATAAACAGATTTCCCATCTCTGTGCCCTCAGAAAAGCCTCAGGACCCAGAGCTGTGCCCAGCAGTGTCCCACGGTGTCTGTTGGAGGCAATCGTTTCAGCGCTAGGATCCATCGTGCTGCAAAGCCCCAGCTGAGGGAACACTGCAATAAGGGAAATCCTTTCATCTTCCTTGCATTTCCCAGTTGAGTTGTGAAATGCAAACAGCTCTTCTCCCTTCTCAGGGATTGATGTGAGCTGATATTTGTATCAGACGTCTCCTTCAGCGCGTTGTTTCTCGCCGCTCCTGGAAGCCGCGGCGTTTCCAAGGCTGTCACCTGCATGGGATGTGTTATTGTTTGAACAACTTTGAAGCTGAAATGCTTCTTTCAAACTCTCCTTTCCGGCCTTTTGCCAGTCTGGGTTCTCAGCTATCGGATCTCCCCGCGTTTGGGTGATTTGTCCTTCTTTACAAAAGCTTTTGTTGCCTCTTTACAGAATGGGACCTTTGGGACAGCAAGCCTTGTGCACGTGTGTGTAGAGAGAGGGGGATGCAGTTGGACACAGGCTGGGGGGGAAAGCAAGTTTGGACTCACTTCTCTGTTACTGTGGGCTCGTTCTGAGGTTGCACACGGAAAGTCTCCTTCCTCCTGGCCATCTCTGATCTTGTACAGTTCTGGCTGAGGAGTTGGAGCGTGAATTCCAGGCCTTGGGAAATAAATAAATCACATAAACATTGTTGAGCTGAGGATAGTAAGACTATTTCTGCTGATAAAGGATGATAGTAGAGAGGTGTGCGTGCTGTACTGAGTCACCAAGTTAAAAATATCCCTTTGTCACAAGTTAGTGGTAAAATGCAAACAAACCTCGTGTTTCCAAAAGCTGTTCCTGTAGGAGGGCTGAGCAGCTGGAGCTGCACCCGGCTCCGTCGGTGTCTGGGGGGTTTGGCATCCCATAGAACCATAGAATGGCCTGGGTTGCAAAGGAGCACAGCGCTCATCTGGTTCCAAGCCCCTGCTGTGTGCAGGTCGCCAACCAGCAGCCCAGGCTGCCCAGAGCCACATCCAGCCTGGCCTCCAATGCCTGCAGGGATGGGGCATCCACAGCCTCCTTGGGCAACCTGTGCCACTGCCTCACCGCCCTCTGCATGAAAAACTTCCTCCTCACATCCAACCCAAACCTCCCCTGTCTCACTTTAAAGCCATTCCCCCTGTCCCATCACCATCCACCCTCACACACAGCCGTTCCCCTCCTGTTTATCCGCTCCCTTCAAGCACTGAAGGCCACCATGAGGTCTCCCTGGATCCTTCTCTTCTCCAAGCCAATCAATCCCAGTTCCCTCAACCTTTCCTCACAGCAGAGCTGCTCCAGCCCTCTGCTCATCTCAGTGCCTCCTCTGGACCCGCTCCCAGAGCTCCACGTCCTTCCTGTGCTGGGTTCCCCAGACCTGGACGCAGCGCTGCAGATGGGGCCTCACAAGAGCTGAGCAGAGGGGGACGATCACCTCCCTGTCCCTGCTGGCTGCACTGTTTTCATGCAGCCCGGATCACAGTTGTCCTTCCGGGCTGCGAGCGCACACTGCTGGCTCGTGCCCAGCTTCTGGTCCACCAGGACCCCCAAGTCCTTCTCCGCAGGGCTGCTCTCAAGGACATCTTCACCCAGTCTGCATCAATAGCTGGGATTGCCCCAACCCGATGCAGCACCCTGCGCTTGGCCTTATTGAGCATCATTAGGTTCACATGGCCCCACTTCTGCAGCCCGTCCAGGTGCCTCTGCATGGCTTCCCTTCCCTGCAATGTATCGAGCATTTCCTGATGGGGTGGATGATCTCAAACATCCACCTGAAGCTCACACAGGGCTGTGGGGATGGCCCTGGCAGGGGCACAGTCCATACAGCGCAGGACCCAAGCAGCCCAGAGTGATTCTTTGAGCTTAATGTTCCGAGGAGCACCAATGGATTTTCGTGTTCTCCTTCCCGTTTCAGTTTGGTTCTTTCATGTTTTCGGAACCAGGTCCAAAAATATTCTGTTGAAAAATTGTTCTGACTTTTGTTGTTTCAGGTTGGAGACTGAGAACAACCTGTGCTGCAAAGAGCGGTCAGCACTGCGCAGCTGCCCAGGGCAGCAGGGAGCCCCCATCCCTGGGGCTGTTCAGTGACCACAGGGATGTGGCACTGGGGGACGTGGGCAGTGGGATGGGCTGGGGTTGGATTGGGGATCTCGGAGCTCTTTTGTGCCTGAATGATTCTGTGATCTTATCAGTGCCTACAAGTCATTCCTGGCTGGTGTCAGGCATACAACCACCGAGCTGTGAGGAGATGGGAACGGTGATCTGCAAGCTCTTCGCCACCCTTTTGGTGCACAACCGTCCACAGACGCTCTCCCTGCAATGCTGGGAGTTTTTTCACCTTGGGGTTACTGACTGGGCGAGCTGAGGCAGAACAATTGTTGGCTTTGCATCCCCCACGGAAAGCAGCTGTTGTCAGTCCATATGGTGCAGTCTGTGCAAGCGAGCACGGGATCAGTGCTGTTCGGAGCCGCTCAACTCTCTTCCCTCCCTCTCATTTCAGGTGGCCATAATTGCAGGAAATTTTGAGTTGGCTGAAATCATCAAAACCCACAAAGAGTCCGATGTTGGTGAGTTGGATCTTTTTTGTTTTCTTATCCTCTTTTTTAATCTTCCTGTGGAGTTCAGGGCTGTTGTCAGGCGGCTTTGTGACCTGGTGCTTTCGTGGTGCTGCTCGCGGTGGCTGGCACAGCCTGCAGCCTGCTCTGGGTCTCTGGAGCAGCAGGATGGATCCGCTTTCCTTCTGGGGCCATCGGTGTTCAGCTCATTTGTCCAGCACAGTGTTTGCTTATGGCTGCTGAGATTGCCAAAGTTAAGAGTGAGCCAAACCGTTAGTCTGGAGTGGGTCTGAAAAGCGCACTGTGAAATCCTTTGCCTTTTGTCTCTGTGCATTTTTGGGGCCGTTTCATACTGGAGCTCTTCTCCTGCAAAAGCTGTTAGCCAGAGCTGGGGCAGGGAGACGTGTCTTCTTGCAGCAGGGCTGATGGTTATGGAGCTGCCCCCACCACAGAGCTTCTATAAGTGATTGCTTCTTTCAGTTTGGTATTTCCTGCACCACCTTTTCCTTCCCATCTCTTCTCTCCATTTGTGGTGTAAACATTATCCTGTAATCATGCAGAGCCGACCTTTAGGTCAGGTGTAACAGCAGCTGGGAGCAAAGAAAGAGGGGTGTTTGAAGGGATGTCATTCGTCTTCCCAAGCAGCTGCTGTGCATGGAGAGCGCAGCGCTCAGGCAGTGGCTGGACACGTGCTGCCGATGCACAGCATTGAGTGAATTCCCTGTTTTTGCTTTGCTTGGACACTTTGCAGCTTTTGCTTTACACTCCTGAATAGTTCTTTATCTCAATCTGTCCGTTTTCTCACTTCTTACCTTTCTGATTCTCTCCCCAGTCCTGCCTGGGGGGAGCGGGTGAGCAGCTGCGTGGTGCTGAGCTGCCTACCAGGGTTAACCCACAACAGGCTACAGGTGGAGCACGACTTGTGGAGACTGGAACAGTCTCCAGCTATTAGGCTTGGCTCTTGGAAGCATCCCTGAGTCTGGGAACCTGCACCCCAGCTCGTCCTTTTATCACTTATTTTCTCAGGCTCCCACTAACAGCTGAATCGTAGAGCCATAGAATGGGCTGGGTTGCAAAAGCCCACAGTGCTCATCTGGTTCCAAGCCCCTGCTGTGTGCAGGTCGCCAACCAGCAGCCCAGGCTGCCCAGAGCCACATCCAGCCTGGCCTCGGATGCCTGCAGGGATGGGGCATCCACAGCCTCCTTGGGCAACCTGTTCCAGTGCCCTCTGAGTGAGCTGCTGAGGACCTTTGAAAAGAGTCAGAAAGGATTTGGGGAAAAGGCTGAATCTTATCAAGAAGTGTTAGAAACAGTGCTAACGAGAAGGCTGTCCTATTAATCCGAGGGGAGGGAGACTGCAGTGGAAAGGGTATGGGAGTAGATGACCTCCAAAGGTCTCACCAGCCTCAGTTGATTGGATTGATGTCTAACAGGGTGGCACAATTTTATTGAAGAAGTTTAAGGAAAACGGCATGAAACTGTGTCAAGTAAGAATGAATTGTTTGTGCTTTCGATGGGTCTGTTTGAACAAAATAGGTCAGATAACAGTTGCGAGCTGATCGCACACAAACCAGCAGGGCCAGATGGCATCCACCTGGGGTCAGTGGAACTGGCAGATGAACATCCAGGCAAGGAGAAATTGCCTTCTGAAGTTCATTAAGAACTGAGAAGTGCGAATGTCCGGCTGGAGGAGAACAAGGTTATTTGGGAGCACGATGTGGGGTGGGGAAGGGGTCAGCGTGAGGTGTGGGGGCTCTGGAGCACCTCCTGCAGGGCTGTTTGTTTGCCCCATTGGCATTCAAGTCTTCAATCTGCTTCAGTCAGCGCCTGTCAGCCATGTGCATGACTCGGTGTAATCAGACGTGCTCCTCATTACCTGTTCTTCACAACAATTTGCGGTGGCATTAATTGCACGTCGTTTTGCATCAGCTGGATCTCGTGTCAGCTGCTCAGCAATTTTCACCATCGCTCTTTCTGGGAAGTTCTCTTAGTCTGCAAGTTTTCAAGTGTTTGTTTCAGCTAATGAGTGGCTTTGTCATCGTGATGTGATGCAAATGCCTCTCCCTGCTGCTTTTGGAGTAGAGTTCTGCATCTACAAAACAACCCGAAGGCCATCAGAAGTTTCCTTCCTTCCGTACGCCACTTGGTTTTTGTTGGTGTTTTGTCTCCATTTTGAATGCATTGTAACTCCCTATTGATTTCAATTATTTTCCCCAATTAGAGGATAAATATATCCTACAATACCAATTGATGTCTTCAGTTTGCTGCTTTTGTCCAACTAAGCACTTAACCGTAGCTGCTTTATTTCACAACTGTGGTTCTGTGACTGCTGTTCCTTTTTTAAGCTCGTGGTTTTATTCATATTTACTCTTTCTACACGGAAGGAGATGCAGGGCAAACAGTGCAGCATTAGTTCAATGCTGAGAAATTGGTCTTAAGCATATAAGAGTGGTTGGGACCATCTTCCCTCTTTTAATGCCAAATAGAATCGGGTCATGATTCACGGTCACTAAGCAACCAACTTCAAGTCAGAGGAATTCGTTCATCATCAGTCATAATGAGACCCAAAGCAGTTGCCCTGTATTACGTCAAACACCTTTTTTGTTGGGGAATTCCAATCTGCATGAGATCAGCATCATGGCAGCAGTTTTCCTTAGGGGTGGTGGTAGGGGTGAGGAAGTTCCTCACCCCCTCTGGTCCGGTTCGGCAGCTCTGCTGACCCACAGCAGTCCGTTCTTTTGGGATGCATCCACCTCTTGGCTCACATCTGCTGGGAATCCTGCAGCCCTGGCTCCCTGGTGGCTCTGTATGGGAGCATTGGTGGCACAGAGCCTTCCTCTCTCCTTTTACCTTGGAACAGATGTTTTTTTTCAAGGTGTTTAGGAAGGTGAAGACCTAAATTGGGCCTAGCAAGGGTCAGGAAGTGACAGGGACACGTAGCTCCTCACTGTGTCCTTCCCACGTGGAGATGATGAGCAGTGCATATCCCAGTGCATGCGTGTGTGAACGGACAGCAGGGCATTAATTTAGACCACGACACTTTTGGAAGATTCCATGAGTCTTCAAGCACTGAATTGTCCATAAAAACACCCAGCTTTGGGTGCCCCCACCAACTCAGGCCCACCCGTGGGCTGGGGCACCTCCAGGGATGGGGCACCCACAGCTCTGGGCATGACTACCACCAGGCTCTGAGGACATGCAGAATGGCATACAGCAACTCAGATAAACGTACGAGACAAGCAGAAGTAGAGGCTGTGACATACATTTCTTCCTTTCCAACTTCTTCCCCTGATTCCTTCTCAAAGGAATCTTTGATAGATGTTGAAAAGCTTTGCACCGAAGCCATAAATAAGTACTCACACGATCAAAAGCTTCATTTCTTTTTCCCTGATTGTGTCAGGTTTCCCAGAATGTGTAACAAATGTGGAAGTTTTTGCTGAGCTTAATCTACCACCCATGCTTTTATTTTTTGCCAGTGACCTCTGTGTGTGTATGTGTGTAGGTCATTGCTAAAGATAAAAAGCATGTATATGGCTGTTCCAAGAACCAGCTTGCTGAATGATATTGGAAATAGCTCCCACTCCATTCTATTGCCTTCTATTTGGTCAGACTCTGGAACCAGGGAGGTGGGGGAGTCGCCTTGTTAAGTGTTCCATAAATGTGTAGATGTTGTACTGAGGGACATGGTTTAGTGGGGGAATATTGGTGGTAGATGGACAGCTGGACTGGATGATCTTAGAGGTCTTTTCCAACCTTGGTGATTTTGTGATCTATATACGGGTAATTGGAGCATAGTAAGTTTCTATGTGACTTGCTTCCTTGTGCCATCTACAAAGACCTTTTTCCTCACTGTTGTCAGTCAGAATACTGAGCGACCTGAAGCCTTGGTCTCACCAGCCCTTCAGTTCCTAAGGAAAGAGTTCTCTGTTAGAATAAATAGAATGTGGTTGACTGGTGGGGCAGCTCTTGGGTCCTGCTGGAAGGTGGTTATCTTTAGGTGAACCAGGTGATGCTCAAAGCTGCCTTCCAATCCAATTCAACCCAACCCAACCCAGCCCAACCTAACCCAACCCAACCCAACCCAGCCTAACCCAACCCAACCCAACCTAA